AACAGGCAGCATGAAGAGAGGCTGCACATTTGCAGATAAGGAACACAGTTTTGTGGAAATCTGTCTGAAAATAGGCTCTGCTTTGCAGGAAAGCTAAAATATGAAGCTCTAGTTATCAGTAGTTTTGTTTTCGAAGACTGTTTTTCTTCACACTATGGATCTTAGAAACATGCACTGCTTTGCTGCTATGCAGCCCAGTACATGGGATTTTCCAAGCACTATCTACAAATTAATGAAAACAAAACTCACTTTGCAAAGTTCATTTGCAGAAAAAAAAATCCGAAGGTGTTTATATGATCTCTTTTTTTCTTAAAATGGAAATCAGTGGGGATTTTCTGTGCTAAAGACTGTTTCAGAGAGGCATGGCAGTGATACAGACAGGATTTTATGTACATTAAAACTCTGGATGCAAGACGTTCTCCTCTCCAGCAGAGGGACTTCCACAGCCTGCTTGAAACATTTTCTTCTTTTGTGACAGACATGCTCAGTGCACACATACCCTGTGTGCCACGGGGATATCTGAGCTCATCGATGGAAAGTAAGCCTTTGTTACCCTGCAGTGAAGATGTGGAGAAGGATAGGATGGCAGGGAAACATCACTGCAAAGCAGCGATACCTGTGACTCCAAATCCTGCTTGCTTTACACAAGTGAACAGGTTTGTTCACTGTGGTTGTCCTGTGGCAGGACTGAGCCTTTATCACTGCAGGGTGAAACCCTTGACCATGCCTGCTACAGAAGTCTCAGGCACCAGCACATAGGCTCCAGCAAAATGGGTGAGGAGTTATTTACTGGGATATCTGTGGACCTTGTTTATTGTACCTTATAAACAAAGTGGTTAAATTCTACTGTTCTCTGTCCACTTAGATTACTTTTTTTCATTTCCATATAAAGGCCAAATACAGATGGACTTTTACTACCTCTAATGTTTTTTCACACACTTCTTCTCTTTAAGATGTAACTTGCTTTACTTTCTACAACATTGTTCCATTCCCTGTAAGCTTTTTGTAAGCAATGTCGTACTATTATAGAATGAGAATCACTCAGGCTGAAAAATGCCTTTAACCCAGCACTGAAAAGCCCCCATACTAAACCATGTCCCCAGGTGCCACATCTACATGTCTTTTAAATACCTACAAGGATGGTAGAATGGACTCTTCCTCTTCCCTGGGCAGCCTGTTCTGTTGCTTGACAAGTCTTTCCGTGACGAAATTTTTCCTAATATAAACATATGTTATCCTACTGTGTGTGTCTAAGTGTTAGAGCAGGTCACTGACCATTTCCCCATGGATTATGGGGGCTGCATTCTGCTCCCTGTGTCCATCTTCCAGCTCAGGGGGCTGCTACCTGGAGAACAGCTGGTCTTACTATTGAACACTAAGGCAAAGAAGGCATTAAATACCTCAGCTTTTCCTCAACTTTTGTCATTATGTTCTCTCTGCCATCCAAAAAGAGGATGGAGGTTTTCTTTAGACTTCCTTTTGCTGCTTATGTATCTATAGAAACATTTTTTTTTGCCCTTTATGAAAGTAGACAGATTAAGTGCTAGTCAGGATTTGGCCCTTCTAATTTTCTTCCTCCATAACCTCATGACACCCTTGCCCTCCTGAGTCTCTTCTTCCAACTTGCATAAACTCTCTTTTCCTGAGACCCAGTAAAAAACTCTGTTCACACAGTCTGACCATCTTCCCTGTTGGTTTGTCTTTCGGCACTTGAGGATGGCCTGCTTCTGCATGTTTAAGATTTACTTCTTTTCTTCTATCCTTTCTTTACAAGACAATACTTCCTATCTGGAATACTTCTCTGCTATTTACACCCCTCTCTGTAGGATATTTTTATTTAGATATGCATTTAGGAAATACAGCTAATATAAATGTGACACTTCGTAGCTCAAAATATTCTATGTTTCTGCTATTATTACAGTTCCAAGCCCCCCACCTGACTTCCTCTGCTAATTCCTTAATTTCTTAAACTTTGTTCTTTCACAATCAATAACTTCAGGTCCAGGATAAACTTGTTTATCTTTCACTTTAAATTGAGACAATTCATGACTTCATCCAAGGTTGCCTCCTGCAACCAACTCTTTCCAAATGCCCTCACCATTTCCCAGAACTAAGGACAGAAGGCAGGCTCTCAGTCTGGCTCAACATGTTGGTAAATGCTGGCTGCTACTACACTACAGAAGTTTTAGTGTTCTCCATCAGAGACCAGCCACATAATTAATCTCTGCCTATAAGCCCTTTCTTCTTATTTTTAGGTGATCCCTCTATTGCTTCCCATCAATATACCATGGATATATTCTGTGAATACTAGCTGATTAATCCTCACAATTCCTACATCAATAAGCAAACAAGAAATAAGAAAATAAGGCATAGGGGAGTTAAATGACAATAGTTACATAATTATCTAAAATATTATTGGAATTATAAGTTTCCTTAGATCAGATCTATTTTTCATTACTAAACATAGTCACCACTTCTTTGAACAATTGTATTAAAAATGATAGGTTTTGAGAACTCAGTTGCAAATTTATCTTTTTTTTTTTTTCCAAATTAAGTATTTTGAAAACCATCAGTCTGGGATCCATGAAGATTTGAGAAAAGCAATTATCAGTAATCTGCCCTTTCCCAGATCTTATATTCCTGTTTTAACGTTAGCTGCTCCCATCTGATCAACAAAGAGGTGGATAACACAATAGGTCTCCTCAATCTTTTGTAAAGTCTAACTGCTCATGATGACGTTGTTAAGGAAAGCAGTATCAATGCAAACAATAGCCACAGCACACAAAAATAGATACCCTGTATGCCACAACCCAGCAGATTGAGAATAGGCTAACAGCCCAGCTGTTGGAAACACATTTCACCTGTCATCCATTATTTGCACATTAAGATAGAATAGGTGTTGAAAGAACAATCAATGTTTGTATTTGCCATAGAGATAAGACTTTTGTCATTCCTCTGAAATCCGGATCAAATCCACAGCTTTAAATATTATGCTATCATAGTAAATTGCAACATAATAGATGGACAGTAAGAGATTGTCAGCTGGAAGGGGAGACTTAGGGAGAGAAAGCTTGTACTAGTTTTTCTTGTTTTTCATGAAGTCATGACCATAGCATACATTATTCAATTAACAAGATCACCCTCCTTCAGTCACTTGAAAATTCCTCTTATCGTCTTTGTTCCTTTCTTCTGTATGAATTGAGGTGGATTTTTCCCTCCACGGTTTCAGTGAACCCTGGCCACAGCTTCTAAGAGGCTCATTATCTCTTCTATCACATCAGCTTCTGCTTTCAAGGCTTATTGTTTAGTTCTTAGTATAAACTGACAGGCTAAAATCCCTTCAAAACACCCAAGGTGCCTTTGCCACTAAGTAAACAGCAAAGCATCATGAGTGCTGTAAGACCCATTTAATCAAAAATATATACTACATGAACACTGGGACACTGAAAACCTTTGGAAGTACAATTACCCTAATTTCTTCCTTAGATGAAGGAACACCTGATGTGTTATTTAAATGGGCTGTCATTTTGAATCTCCATTATGGATTTGATTTGCTTATGGAAAATATGCTTTAGAAATGTGCAGGGTTCTCTCAGTCTTCATGTCTCACAGCACTCAGAAGTAATACAATCATATCAGTTCATACAGGTTACAGAGCTGTAACCTGTACAGACTTGGCTATCCAAATATAACCTTCTGAACAAGTTGCTGGCTGTCTGGAGTGGGTAAATCAACCTTACCCTTGTGTCTTTGCTTTGGTCAAGACATTATTGGAGCAACTCACCAAGAACACAAATATGTGATTATTGCAAAGCAGTGCTCAAGGAGATTTCCATTCAAACCTCAGTGACGTTCAATAGGAATCTGGGGACTAACTCCCTGAAAGCCAGTCAAAAATTCTCCATTAAAATAAGAGTGCCTGTGTGTGTATACATATATTTATGTGCACATAAATCCATCTGTGTTCCTGTCTCCTTGTGCACAGACACCCCACACGTACACACCAGTGATGCAGTGCCACAGTGCTTTGACAGAAGCCATTCACATGATGTTTAAGCAAAACCTCTTCTTTCAATTGCTACTCTGAGCAATTCTGAGTTCTGTCAAACTAATAATACAGGTCTGTGCAACAAAATGTTACAATATCAGTATTAGCATATAAAACAAAGGTAAGTATAGGTTTCCCGTGTCTTTATTTCTTTTCCATTTTCTCTCTGTTGGAGAAATTTGCCAAACCCAAACACTTTCTTTTTTTCCTATGTGGTAGTTTTGTTTCTGATGAGGACAAAAAAAATATCTCTGTTTAGGATAAAAAGATATGTTGCTCCTTTGATTTGTTTTTTTGATTCCTAATAATGTACAATAAATATAACTACAGTGGACTATTTAACAGTCCTGTAAGCATTACATGGTCTATAGCTGAAGAGAGTCTAGTTGCCTCAACTAAACAAAATCACTTGCTGTAAGAGCAGTTTTCAGGACAGTGATAAACCACAGTGTAATACAATCATGCATTAAGCTCCAACCAAATGTGAGACTGGCACAAATATTAAAGTACAACTGGGCAGAAGTCAAGTATGTACAAGTCATTGACAACATCGGTGTAAGTGCTCTAGACAAGACATTTAAAAGAAATTTACATAAAAACATAGATTAAATTTATCAAAGTTTGATAAATTTTAAGACAGTAAAAAAGTACAGAAAACATGAAAAAATAAAAAACCCAGCCAGTACATACAGTACAGTTTTACTACATTTATACTACAGAATGAAGACAGAAAAAGATACAAGGAATTAAGAGCAAAGAAAATTCTGCTGGCTGTAGCCAGTGGAATTTCATTGCCAATGAGAAATGCGCACACACAGATGCACGCACACGCACAGAAAATAAAGACATAAACCAAAAAAACCATTTAGTGTAACAAATGACAGACAGAGAGGTGGGGACATTTGGCATGTTGCAGCACATGGAGTCATTCCCGATTGGCTAACGATGGTACCTGGCTCGGCTGGAGGTCGCTGGGCTGCCTGAGCGGCGCCACAGACGGAGGAGGCACTCCTGACGTGGACGCGGACCGGCCCAACCGGCAGCTTGATTTAGACTCTGGAAGGGGAGAGAGCAGAAACACCAGTGAGCAGGAGCAGGGTACTGCTGCAGCAAGCTGAAACACTGTGGATCCAGGATTGCCTTGAAATGGGCACTCCAGCCTTGGTAACCAGTTAAAGTCTTGGGCATTTGGCTGAATCATGAGTAGAAGTTGAGATCGGAAGAGGGATTCAGACAGGACTCATGCCACATCCTGGCCTCTTTGCTCTGGCATCTCTGAAGGATAGAGCATAAAACAGCAGACAGGAAGAACAAAAGAGAAGCATTCCTGTTTCCCCATTCCCCTGCTCCCCAGTGCCTTTTCTACTCCTCATGCAATACAGCCGTGATTCAGGGAGTTACAGAGGCTTCTGGTTTCATCTCTCCATACCAGAGCTGAGGGACATGGTGGCCCAAAGACTGACTGTGCTGAAGGAAAGCATGAAATGCCAGAAAATGAAGGAGTTGGTATGTAAAAGTGGTGAGGATACTGTCACACTTGGGGATTTGGAATGACACCAAAAATACTTGGGAATCTCATGTCAGTGGCAATGAATTGAGAGACATAAAGTAGGAAGAAGAGACAAATCAAAACATCAGCAGTGGCAAAGTCAGTTGTTCAGAATCAAGGTGATAACAGGAACAATGTTTGCCTTGAGAGGAAGCTCCTCTTCAGAGAAGAACTGCACAGAAATGACACAGCTATTTGATTTTCCTTCTGCTATTTTACATGGGGTAATTTCTGAGAAGGCTCCCCTGATTTCCAGCACAGGTTACTATTGCACACACTGACACAAGGTGACCATGCAGTTCAGGAGGCCTGGACAAAGGTTTTTATATCTAAGCCATGCTGACACCCATGTGCTATCTCAGCATTTAGCTGGTCTGGAGGAAACTGTCTTTTCCTGAAAAAATGATCTGTCTGTTCTGCCCAAGAAATTTTTTTTGTCCTTATATTTCCTATATATGACTGAGGAAGCATCTCTCAGCCTATGGCTCTGCTCAGAGCAATGTGTTCATTCTCCTCATGTTTCATAAACCTTCTTCTCAACCCTGCACCTGCTTTTTCTATTTAGTGGGCAAACACTGAAAACATTTGGACTCACCAGACAGATTTGGTTCAAGACCAGAGTCTCACTTTTCACAATGACAGTGCTGCTTTACCATGAATAACAAGTAATTACAATACCATGCTTCATTACAATTTAAAGAATTTTAAGTCTTTTAAAATAAGGTTTGAAGAATTCCTCAAATTCCATGTTTTCAAGAACAAAGGAGGGACCTATACCTCATGCAGTTGTGGTTTAGCAAGTTTGCCTCTGAAGCACATGTGTTTTGTTTGTGTTTGTTTTACATTTATTTTTTTATTTCCTGTGTGGATCTCTAATATCACCACTGGCCACTAGTTGGGCCATAGCTTGAAAGGAAGAAGATGTCTGTCACTAGCATGTCCTTAAAGTCACTTGGCACACACCTTAGAAACTTGAGGACAGCTGGCACATTACTCCACACACCAGCAACATGCTGAAATGGATTCTTCCACTCTCACTGATGCTTTTTCATTGTCACCTTAAATACGTATTTTCCTCAGATATTTCAGAATTCAACAGGGCGTGGAGAAGAGCTATCCACTTATGCTGGAGCACTTAGACCAATGAAAGCATCCTTATGGGTGAATATTCATCAACTAAATATTAATAGGTTAGTTAACATCCATCTGGCTGAGCAGCAAAAATATTTATGCTGTTCGCCGAATGCATTATTCAATTCACTCTCTCATAGTCGGTCTGTAAACACACCACGAGTCAACACAGCCATAGGCACTCAGGAAGGAGCAGACTGGCCTCCTCCAGAACCTTGCTTTTGTACACAGTCTGCTGGTTTGCTTTTTTTGGACCTGGGCAGTTACTCTGAAGGTTGATTAGATTTGTTTTCGTTCTGATTTCACGCTGTCTGTGTGCCAGATTTCTGACTGTTCCTTTCAGTAATATAGATGTAATAATGGATCTCATTATTATACCTCATCTCTCATCTCCTGGAATTTTGCTGGGGTTTCAGAAAGGACAAGAATTAGGGTTTTTTCAGTTATTTTTTCTCTACTGCTAAGTAGGGATTCTGTTTTTGCTGTGACAAGCAGAATCAGACACTCAGCCCATATAAAACTCCAAGACACTGTCTGACTGCTTCTGAATTATTTTCTTTGCTTTAGGAAAGCAGAAAGAAGTGTCATAATTTCCATAATTTGGATCTATGTGCAACAACAAGAAATTACCATTTCCTTGCCAAAAGAGACTCCTTTCATCTGGCATCAAAGAAACAAAACCTATCACACACAAATGAAGTATTAGTTCCTTTATCTCCCTGTAATATATGTTACAGTATTAAAGAAACTATTGTGATTTCCATGGTGATCTTCACCAAAAAGTGCTGCAGACATGGCTCCATCTAACTTTTGTGTCTCAGTGGCAGTATTTTTAGACCAAATAAATACTGTATTCTACTGTAATTAGTGGTCTTAGTAACAGCACACCACTGTAGGGGAAAAATGGTCCATAAATGGTCTGTTCTTTAAATGCTGCACAACTCACTGCTCTGTATTCTGCAGCATATTATTTTTCAGCTATGGGCAGCTTATTCACTGTACTGGGGCTATCTGGGTTTTCCTATTTAATGCCAAGAATCTTAAAGGAAGGACTACTGCCAGCAAATATCAGGGATGGTTTCTAGTGTTTAGAAATTTGTCTTTATCTCTTGTGGATGATACTGAGACAGCTCAGTATTGACATCTGAAATGAGTAGTTCTTGAGAAGTCCCCTTAGTGACAGTAATCATGGTGTGGAGCTGAGTTCTATCAGCCATCCTGATAGGCACATGGGGAAGGCAATGCAGGCCAGGGGATGCAGGGCATCTGAGCAGCTTTTAGAGATGCCCATTGCAATCAATGGGGAGCACAAGGTCTGAATCCAGCAGATTCTTGGGGGTAGCCAGAAAGCTGTGAAATGTTATGCACAAAAATGTTCATAAAATTCAGTTGGTGCCTTTGGAATTTTAGTAATATTATTTTGCACAGCTTCAAATGTTACATCTCTCACAGTGACATGATATGAAAAATGCACTGCAGGTCTCTGAGAGCCAGGTGCTAGGAGGGCATGGTGAGCCAGTGGGCCTCAGTCCCCTCCTATGGCACCCACAGTGGCCACAACACTCGGTCAGTGGAGTAGAACCACAGCCCCTTCACACCAAGGAAACCCACACACAAAATTCAGCTGCAATGGGCAGAGCATCACTGCACTCGTGGGTTTAAACGCAGTCTTGACAGCACCAGGAAGATTACACATGGAAACAGGCAAGCATTTAGTTGCAAGGGGCAGCATTAAGGATGAGAATTTTAGGAGAGACTGTGCAACACAGAAATACAGGCTTTCCAAACACAAATAGGATTGCCTTAAAATTGTGTATTTAATTATGTGTGTAAGCACTCATATAAATGGCTTGTTTTCCAAACTGCAAGGGCTGCCATCATGACTAAAGATGTAGAGGCTTGGCTGATTGCATTTGGAACACTGGGGTGTTGCAGCATTTTCCTCAATAAAGCACAGTGCTGAAATGCCACAAGATTTTATGGAAATATTTTCAATCAGTTTTATACCAGTAGTTCTATGGCTTTCTATATTCTCTAGAAGCACAACTCTTCACGATTTTTTTTTTTTTTTGGATCTTAATGGGAAGAGTTCTTTATTCACCCAAGGAAGTCTTCATTCTGCCTACCCTAATCTTAATTCAAAAAAATACTCTGGCTGTCACTTACATTGGAGAAGCTTCTTATCCTGTCACAGTCTCTTCTTTGCACATGAAAAGAGAAATATTGCTTATTTGCTACAGCTGCCAAGAAATGCGTTTTGAATTAAACAAGGCAATGTGACAGGTTGAGAGCAATCACATGAAAAAAAAAAAGGGGGGGGAAAAAAGAAGAAAAAGAAGAAAAAGAAGAAAAAGAAGAAAAAGAAGAAAAAGAAAGCATGCATACTGGAAAAATACATCACACCAAGTATCTTCATACTGACCTAAAAAGAGATGAGTAAGCTGAAATATAACTTGAAATTATGAAACATTAAGGTGTAATAAACTATATTGTATTCTCTTATATATAAAAAAGTATTTAGTACTTTGCTATTGGCAGATGCCAGTTAGTGCTCAAATATCACAGCAGTTTTCACAAGGGGAACACTGAACCTGTGGAACTCAGCGTTACTCATGTCCATAGGTTAAAAGTTTAGCAAGTCTCATACCCAAGTCAGGTAATGAATAAAATCATGTCTGAAAAGGAACCCTCTGTTTAGGTTTAGGGGATATTTTACCCAAAGGGAAAAGCTGTTAGTGGAATATACTTTGTATCCTGAAATATGGGTGTCTATTTTCTTTGTAAAGCTTTAGTTGTAGGATTTGGCTGTGTTTATTTGCTATTTCCTGGCTTCTTCGAAATACAAGGAAGTGTTTTGCATCTTTGCTCAGGTTTTTTGTGTGTGTTTTTCTTACACCTAGGCAACACTTTTACTCCAGCCAGAACCGGTGTGATCCTGCACCCTGGAGGTGCAGAAGGACCATGGGCACTGGTGGGATGCCCTCAGCCTGCAGCTCCCAGAACTGCTCCTCTTGCTAAAGGTGACAGGAGCTGCTTAGGAGGAGCTTGTGAGCAGAGAACATCACTGACCAGTGCGGGTAAGGTCTGGGCCTCACTGGGCACTAACACAACACCCCTGCATTAAATTGCCTTCACGTGGAGAATCTTTGTGGATTTAGGAGCACAGTGATAGTGCCTGTGAGGAGAAAGTGTGGGGGTTGTGGGACTGCTGAGTCATCTTTGTGTGAAGCACTTTGGCTGGCATGAAGTGGCTTTTTGCTGCTATTCCCTTCTTATACCAATGGATGCATCTTGTGCCTTGGGCTTCCCAGGCTTTGCCCCTTCCCAAATAGATGAACTTAAAATATTAATCACTTTTGGAAATCACCAATGATGGCCAGTAACTTCAATGAAGGGTGAGCATTTACTCCCTTTCTGATTACCTACAATGTTTTCAGATGGAATATTTATGGCTGGCTGAGTGACAAGCTGGTGGTGATTCAAAACCAGGACGCAATAGAGTTTCTGAGATTTAAAAGGCAGGGCAGTGCCTGTCTCCAGCAGCAGGTGGCAATGCAAAATGCTTCTTCGTTGCAGTTAGGAAAAAAGCAGCAACATTCCAGAAAATACTCTTCAGGTCTCCTGGAGTGCAGTTATACAGATTCTGTGTTACAGATTGTGTTTGGCTGTTCATTATAATTGCACTGACTTTCCTAAAAGTCAGCATGCCCCCAAATCACACTGCTTTCCATAAGAAATTATAGAATGCCAAGAAACATAAAGTGCCCTTGACAAATCCTGTCACAGAACAATCAGGCACTAGAGACAGTGATAACTTTGTGCAGCTGACAGCCCAGGCTCTTTGAACAAAATGGATAGAAAGCTCAAGATTCTGTTTGGAGATGCCTCATTCTCCCTCTGATCTTAAAAGCAGTTCGAGAGTTGGGGAGAACTCACCAAAAATCAGTATTCTCACTCAGGTATTTGCCCAGGCCACTCCAATTCCCAGCTCGTCTGTGCTGGAGCAGAGCTGCCTGATGAGCACAGAGGGAAGTCCATTCACACCTTTTCTCTTTTATAGCAGAGCAATTAAACCCCATTAAAAAAAAAAATTCCAATATTTTCCTAATAAATGCCTGTATCAGTGTGAACTAGGAGGTAGGTACCAAACTGTGGTGTTTCAAGGACATGTCTTCACAAAAAAAACCAAACCAACCAAACAACCAACCAAACACAAAAATAGCCCTTTTTTTCTGTTATCTACGATGTTGCAAAGAGAGCAGCTGCAGTGATGACTGTACTGGGGACTGTCTTGATTTTATTTGGTCCTGCAGTAAATCTAAGTTCTAATTGCTAATGCAGAATTACTTTATCTCCTTGACTCCAGAAAGCATTTGTATTCATATAAAAGTATTAAAGCTCTCCTCTTGCATTCTGTTACAGTTTTAATTTAATTGCAGAGAATGAGCTGTTACAGTTCATGTACAAGTTCATTGAGGAGAACTGTGTATAGCATTCTCAATGCAGTGCCCCACTGAGTAAAGGTAAAACATGTTGCTCAGGCAACAGCAAGAGGCACAGGGGAAAAAATATTCAGGGCAGATGAGAGGCAATATTCATCAAATGAAATATCATAAATCTGCAGGGAAAGAAAAGTCATAATCAACTCTTAGATTTTAATCGCAGAAAGGAGTCAAAATTCAGCCAAGAATATAAAATTTTTCTGTGACAGTCCTAGAAATGTAAGACAAAGTCACAGTTAACTAAATCAAGACATGATTCAACAACTATTGCAGTTTGCTGATGCCAAATGGAGATTGAGGCCAACATGTTTTGTCTGCTTTTGGAGATCAACCAGCTCTCTGAAATAAAACTGCTGCAGAAATGTTGGACAGCAATGCTACATTTTGCTAAGAGCTTACTCTTCAATTTTAACTTCTTTACTACTTTGCTCCATAGTGTCATCTTGCAGAACTGAAGAGATTGGTACACACCTTTTGTCTAATTATTGGATGTCCCAATACTTTGATGTGGTAGCTTTAAACCCATCCTTTAACCTGCATTAGCACAAATGGTGCTCTAACATACTGGGAACAGAATTTTTACCTAAAGGTATGAGCTAATCTGGAAAATTCCCACATTCCAGGAAGCTTTGTGAGAACAGACAAGTAAGCAAATGGCAGTAACACACAAAAAACCAGTGCTAGAGTCATAAGTTTTGCAGAAAAGTCACTTTCACTGCACCAGCAAGGACAGTTTGGGGGCTCTGTAGCAAGTAAAGCTGGACCATGATTGCTGCAAATGACATTTCACATCAGCAAAGATTCTTCAACCTATACACTGAGTTTCAGGTGTCATTTTCAGCAATTCAGGGACAATGTGAGTCCCATTATCACACAGGGAAGCAATGTTCTGGGTGAGGCATGAGCATCTCTGCTCATTCAGCAGTTTAAACACTCCTTGCTGCCACTCGCTGCCCAGCAGATCTCTCAGGCAGGAATGATTTCTTGTCTGAGCAGTTCATTCGTGCTCTTATACTCACTGAACATTGACCATGAGGCTTCAGTACTAGACATGCCAACTCTCCTTAAAGTGGATATTTCTCACAGTCCAACTAATAAGCAATGAAATTACTCTTTTATGAGAGCTGTCAAATCTCAAAAGTACCAATAAGTACTCATGCAAGGGCAATAGATATCTCTATTCATTTATCAGTTCTGTTTGTCGCAGTCAATTTATAAACAAGACTGCATTAAAATGCCATGGTTATGGCAATTTACTATTTAATATGTAAACATTCTTGATTAATAAAATGAGTAGGTGTGAATCTGAGACTTCTGAAATAGTTATTTTTCTAGAAATTTCTGTACAAGCAGAAAGCAAAGGCTGCCTGTGTCCTGTCACTGTGCCCCTCAGTAAGACAGCCTTGCTTTTGCACAGTGTATTTTTGTTATTTTATGTGATACCTGAACTTAACAACTTCTTCCTGAGGTGCCATCCTAGGAGTGTCTTTGCCATAGTGTCCCTTTTCAATGTCAGGGGTAATACTTTACTTCATTGAAAGTAGATGCCTAGCATGTTTATGTGCTTCTTTTCCATGCCACCATCCCAGCTGTTCTGGCACAGAGCACAAGTACAGCACAAGCCTTATTAGTGCAGCAGTCAATGGGCAGAGCCAAATCTGGAAGCTATTTGGAAGTCTTAAGAACCTGGATGCTTCCAGACAGGTGTATGTGTATCTTTAGAGATTCTTCATCTCACCAGGAGATTCATGAGATCTTCCCTGCTCTGCCACTTGACATACCTGAGCTGTTGCCTCCAGCCAGCATGGTTGGGCTGACAGAGGATCTCCCCAGCCTGCTGGACACCACAGGAGGGCCTGGCGTTCCATCCCATTCCTGAGCTTTCCCTGGCTCCCTAGAGGAAGCTGTCCCATGATGTCCTCTCTCTTTGTTTTCCAGCTTTGGGAGTGGTTCAGTGCTGTGACTTCTGATCTTCAGCTCATCCAGTGGTTCTACAAATACACAAGTGCACATTTCATTATAGAGTAACTGCTAATCATCCACATCATGCAATAATCTTTTGTCAAATACTCCATACATTTCAATCATAAATCCTTTAAGGGCAATTTATAGCATGGTTTTACCACCTGGGCCAAAACCCTGTAGTTTACCTAGGTTTCAATACATTAATTATTAAAAGCACACACCATGCAGCAGATGGATAAAATGTAACATTTCTATTACAACTTTTATATGCCAGAAAAATAATTTTGAAAATGGTTCCTTACCAAACTGTAGTTTATTAACAATTTATAGAAATACTTGATATCTTTTCAGCTGTCGTTTCATTGGGAACAAGTTCTTCAGGCACTTTCTAAGGAAGCTCTCTCCTAAGGCAATATTGTGCAAGCAACATATCTGTACTTCTCATAAGCTCTAATAAAAGCACACAATCCAGAAAACAAAAGAGCACAAATCCATTTTGGGTGTGCCCAGCACCATAACCTAGAGAATGAAATTGCACTTGGCTGGAAAATCCTTGGAGTCAGAAAATTACTTTCTGCTTGCAACACCACGAGTCAATGAAAAGAGGAGCAATTCAAAACACAGCTGAATGATTTTTTTCAAGTGAAACAGTGATGTCTGCTTTCTTCATGGCTGGTGATTTTCTGTTCTTTTCTCAAGACCCTAATTTCTTTTCTTGAAGGTTGAGCAATGCATGGAGAAAGAATTAATTCCTGCTCTTTCCCATCTGTAGCTGTGAAAAATTCACATGGAAAACTGGATACAGAAGAAACATTAGATTGCTCGTTAGTTGTAAGAGTTAATTATTGTGCTACTCAGTTACTCAAAGCTGCTATTTACCTCCTTTTGAAAAAAAAAAATCAGTTCTCAGTTTGGAATTTTATCTCAAACCCAAAGAGATCCTTACATGATACTCAGTTCTAGTCACACAGATTTATTAATAAACCACCTGATGTACCTTTATTTCTGTATGTATCTACAGCCTTGGAACCCACATTTGATAGAGATAACAATCTTCCCTTGAGCTCTATCTCAAAAACTTTTAGTGGCTTCAAGGGACTTTGGAAGGTTTGAGAGAACGAAGCAAAGAGAAAATGCCAGGAGCCATTGAGAGGCAGGAGATGCCAGCAGCTCCCTGAGGGGCCCATGCTGAAAGGCAGGGCAGGACTGACAGTCTGAGTTGCCACTTCCTCTCCCAGTCATCCCCATGGCCAGGAACTGGGACTGTTCAACAGGGATCACCACTCAGATGATACAGTCCCAGAAAAGGACCACATTCAAATCACTTTGATTTGCCTGTGGCTCAATACCCCACAGGACGATGCACTGTTAGACATCTGTGATGGGTGGAGACTCCACCTATGCACGACAGTAACAAAATCTCACCTTGTTTTGGGTTCTCTGACATTCCAGTCTGCAGATGACCTTAATGATTAACAACACAGTCAGCCTGGGCTTTCCTCAATGAAATATCATACAGGAGGCATGAAAAAATATCTAACTGGATGTGCAGTGCAAGATGTAGTCATTAGTGTGTTTCATTAATTACTATTGGTTAATAGTAAAATGCAATGTTAAGGATATCTTACCACAGCCTTCAAGTAGTAACACTGCATGAGAAAATGATTAAACCACCCCAGGCTAGGAGTGGTAAATAGAATTCAGTGACATTGTATGTGACAAAGACCTTCAAAACTCAAACCTCTTCCATGAACTTCTAGGTCACATACCTACTTTAGTGCATGCAAAAAGACACTGCAGTGAAAATCCAAAGTATTTGTTTTTCCTAGATGGCAACCCCAGCAGGCTCCAAGGTTGAATAGCAGTCTGTATCAATATAACATGGCATCTGCCTTTCAGGGACCTTTGCTACGAGATGTCTGTGCCACAGGTCTGTCTGTGACTGCACACAGAGACCTGCTAATACAAAGAGCTGAGAGAAGAGAGGGAGCACCCAATTACCAGGATTAGAACTGTTTCAGTTGACAGCATTGAGCTATCAAAAATACTGATGTGTTTTTTCACATAACATATGCATGCAATCATATGTGATTTTTTTTCTTCACACCAATAACATTCACGTCTTTAAGATATTACTCTTCTGGGAAAAGAAAACATAAAAACAAAGTTTCAAAATTCTTTGGAAAGGCACACAATCCTCTTTCCCATTAGTACAGGATGGTGTCTAGATTGCAGTTTATTCTTCACAGCAAAATGAAGAGAAAGCCAGAAGACTAGAATGTGTTTCTAGAAAGTAAGAATTGGGCCCTGCAAGTGCCCTACCAGATTAATGCATCATTCAATAGAGTTAATTTACTATGTCATCCAGCTGCTCCTGGAATGGCTGTGACTACCTTAGTGAAAACCTTCTTCCCGTGTGCCTCATTGACACTACTTGAACACCACCCCTTGAAATTTCACACACATGCAGTCAGCCCTTGTCACAGTGGAAATGCTCTGGCTGAGTGTGTAGTTAAGGATTTATCTACTTCAGTTTATTTAACAGAGAAGCATTTGTACTTGTTGCCTGATAAAAAAGATTTGTGCGTCCTTAGTTTTATTGTCTGTTGAATCAAAGCACAGCAGTTCTCTGCAAACAGCTGGAAACTGTGGAACTATTCAGACTAAATAAAGATTTGGTTTATAGTCTAGTTCTTTGTAAGGTTTAGAAAATCAGTTTTCATCTGGCTGTCTAGACTTAGTAAATTTACATTCCACTATCCTTTCTTGGGGATTTTCAGTTCACAGTTTATCTGAAAAGTAATATATCCTAAAAATGAAAAGCAGATTGAAATAGATTATAACGTCATGTAACCCATCTCTGGGCCTGAATCATTATTATTTGGTGATCATTATCAGTAACAATGATAGACAGAAAACAACATATCAATGTTTTATGTAGTTTTCTGTAATATTACTTTCCAGCTCACTTGTAAATACAGAAAAAATGAAAAAGAAAATTATTGCCTCAAATATTTTGAGGAGAATTTTAGAATAATTTCAGCTTCTTTAATAAATTTCAATGGGAATCATACTCAAACTCAATTAAAAAAAAAATTAAAAATCAGTCTGCTACTTCTTGGTCAACTGAAAGAGCACTTCAGTTCCAATGTGCCCAGGACAGCTCTGGAAATGCAGAATGCTCCCCTGCCAGGTCTCAGCCCATCACTGGCACATTTGCTGACTGTCCCAGCCACTTGGATGTTTTTATCTTGTCAACTACTCCTTGCTGCAAATGTAGCTCCATGGAGCAAGTTAAGTTGCACAAATGATTGTGTCTCATAAGAGCACATTCCCTGCTCCACGTTTTGGCTCCTGCAGCCTGGCAGAAGGCATTGGCAGAGAGCAGAACACGCCTGTAGCTGCTGGCTGTGGGTACCTGAGGGGTGGGGATCTCATCATCCACTGAAAAGCAAAGCAGGATATTTAACACAGAGTAACCCTTATAAGACCAACAGCAGGATTTAAACGGCCACTTTATCCCTATTGATCTCATCCTGAAAACAGGCACTCTTACCAGTCAGATATATCTGTATACAGAGACACAACTGAAAGGAAACAGTAGCTGCTGCACAGCTCTTTTAATTTTTTTTTTATTTGGGAAGTGCAGAAACATAGATTGGATCTAGGATATCTTGTGCTGTTAAAAACCTTAATTTGGAGGTAGGAAATATCAAAGCTCAGTATGAATCGTATGGTGACCACCAGAAAATCTTTTTGCAGTCATGTGCTACTTTTTGAAAAGCTGAAATTATTATGGAAAGCATCTTTATTATTCAATACTTCTTCCACCAAAATGGTACATAAAAATGTAAATTTCAAGAAATAATTCACTGCTTTAAATATTTATGGACACAGTTGGTTAAACTGCCATAAAGGCACTCAAATGTTTCAAGCACTTTCAGCTGTCATAGTATTTCAATATTTAAAGATATGCATTTTTCTTATTTATTTCACCTGAATCTCAGACTTTTCCATTCCAAGTTTAAAATGGTTAAAATCTCTTGTAAAATACATATTTTACAAATAATTGGCAAGTGCAGTCTCCCCTCTAGGAAAGGTCCCTGAATATCTCTGCACTAGGCAAGGCCAGCACGTGAACTGTGGTACTATAAAACCTGGAAAAGCTCAAGGAAGTGAGAATTAAACTGAGTCATTTGTAACTTGGACCTAAGAAAACTGAAATTACAGCTACAGAAAACATCTTATCGAAAAAGCTAGCATTCAAATGAGTATAACTCAGTGGCCAGTGTGCCACTCTGCTCTTAAACACAAATTAATTTCAGGACCAGGTGGCTTCTTAGTGCAATGCAAAGTGATAAACGGCAGAACCTTTATTACTGCTAGGGGTTTTGGGGGAAGAAAGAAAAGCGATTGTCTTAAGGACCTTAAAGTGAGGATTGCTCTTTGCCATCTCTCTCAGCTGTGAGCTGAAATGTATAAGCTAATCCACACATTATTAATTTATTCCTTTTGTTTCTTTGTGTTTGTTATAAACCTAAATAAATAATATATAACTCTAGGCAGAACTCCCATACTGGTGGAAGCAAATGGTCTAAAATTCAGCATTCACATAGAGGTGCAAAGAAAAGTCATTTGGGATGGGGTTTAGATGAGAGGCAGAACTCCTGATCTCCTCCAGCTTCAACATATCAGACCTCAGCTCATCTGGCCTCAGGGCAGGCATGGCCCTGGCTGAGGGAGCAGGAGCACAGAGCACGGCAAGGGCACACCTGGAGGGGGGCAGATGCAGGCTGAGAGTGCAGCCAGCACACCTGTGTGATGGTCACTGCTACCCGGGACATGCCCCAGGCACAGCTGCACCAGTGTCCCTTTGCCACGGCAGCCTGTGCCCACCTGCCCGACCCCTCGCACAGGCACTGCATGGGGAGCAGTACTAAACCTTTCAGAGAGCCCCACAGTTTCTTCCATCTGCACCCCAGGGCTTTTATTTACCTTTACTACACATCTGAATATTAGAACTGCC